TCTGCTCCTATGATGCTGCTTGGCCTGCTGTGTTCATCCAGCCCTGCACCTTGTTGTCTCGGATTCTCCAGCATCTGCAGTTCCTACTATCTCTGGTTCACTAATGTCCTTTAGGGAAGGAAACTGCCATCCTTACCTGCTCTGGCTGACATGTGACATGTTGCCCTCTGAACTTAACTGCCCTCTGGACAATAAATGCTGCCTAGTTAGCGACACCCTCCTCCCATGAATGAATATAAAAAAATAACCACCTTATTTACATACCTTTTTGAAATTTCTAATATCTAATAGCAAATAGAAATTTTATTTATACATCTATAGATCTAGTGCATACAAACAGCTGCTACAAAATGTCATTAACATTTATTATCTTGTTTCATTATAGCAGTTTATTATTGTTAAAACATAAAAGCTTGTTAAAGTAGCTATTGTAGTTACTTATTACTTGATTTCTATAAGGTGCAAGGTCAGCATAATAGTAATGTTTTATTTGATTAAACTGATTGATTGAACAGTTGTGCTTTTACCATGTAATAACAAACCAAGTTAGTCATTAGTGTTTCCTTTATCAGCATGCAGAGAATAAAACCCAATCTAATAAAAAAAATCATTACTGTAGATGTACAACATATCTAAGCAATTGTTAGATTTGCCTTTATATTAGATTTACAATCATTATCTGGTCATTATGAAGAAACCTTTTTTGCCATGAATAAAGCGAGAAATAAAAAAAAACTGGCTAACATACTTCCTTAATCAATCCAAGATTCTTCACTTCGATTAGTTTCAATGGGATAGATTCGTGCTGTGTTGATTGAGAATTTGTTGTGAAAATCTGTTACTGGAATTAAAGATAATTGAATATTAAATTAACAACATAATTCCAATTTCTTGTTTTAAATTACATGTAGGGCAAAATAAATACTTGTATGTAGCATTTCTGCAAATACATTTACCTTTCACAAATGGGGTAAAATTGCACAATTAACATATTCATACAAAATTTGGCTGCTATTTTAATAGTCAATTTTGAAGCAAATTAGTAAATGCCTATGTCATATAAATCTAATGATGTTAATATTACACATTGTAATTTCAAGGCAACATTTACATAAATTTAGGTATAGTAATCCTGTTGCTGGCAACCTTTCTTTTGAATCAGGAGTGTATGTAAAAAGATCTAAATTGTATTTATAGTGCATGTACATGAATAGACAATGTGTGGAAGTGCAGATAACCAAGTGGAAATGTGGTGCTTTGGTGACCAAGGAGATCTAGTTCAAAAAGGATAGGACTGGGTACTAAATATTCGTGAATACAAGGTGTTCATGAAAGGTGGAGAAGGAAAGAAAATTGGAGGGTTAGCAGTATTGATTCAGAAGAATGTTACAGTGTAGGAGAAAGAGGATGTTCTGGAAGGGTTAACAGCAGATCTATTTGGTTAGAGTGAGGGAACAATATTACGGTATTGAGTGTATTTTGCAAGCCACCCTGTAATGTGAAACACATAGAAAAACAACATTATAAGGAAATTAACTCACAGGTACAAACATTATTTAGTAGGCCATGATTGTGGGTATAGTGTACCTAAAGTATAATGAACATTTTTAACATGTGATTCCAAAATTTGTTTCTTTTTAAAAGAGGGCTAATACAGTCAAAAGTGATTGTGGGTGCAAACTAGTGGCTGTCTGCAAAGAGAGACCCACCAAATGTCACACTGCCAGATGCAAAGGGACATTCAAAGAGAGAAAGAGGCAACTCAAATAGTTTGCACTGTAATCTTTTGTGTCTAGAGAGAAATGGCCAATTGCTGATGATCTCAACAGCAAACCACTCCCTGCAAATTATGCCTCAAACTGCAGATACTGCATTTTTGCCTTTGTAGAATTCACAAGGACAGGGGTTAAAAAACCTGTTGCAGTTCTACTGGAGTATATTAGTGGGACTGATCACCTTGTGTGTACCAGCCTAGGTTTGAGCACTAGCATTGCTGTGAAGGTTGCAGTTGAAGAACTATCCCCTTGTTGTCCTTGTGTTACAGAAAAATATCTTCTCTGACTCTAGGTGCCATAAGTCAGCTAGCTATTTGCTAAGCAAAAGGAAGCAGGCCAACAAAGTGACTGTCTCACTCTGAATATTGATATTCAATCATGGTCAAAAGGAATTAGAATTACAGAATCTCAATCATTCTGCAAAGCTGAGGATTGTGAAAATGACTTTTCAACTCCTCATGTCAATGCTACCAATAACTACAATAGTTGCAATGTTCAAATACCTATTCTTTGTGAACAATTCAGAGACTGATCTGTATATCTTTTTCAAAAGTCTTTTATCTTCTTGAGTTCATCTCTAATTTCTAATCTGTCTCATGTGTTGCATTACAAATCCTTCTCGCATTTAGTAATTAATTTGTTGACTGTGGAAAGCCTGGTTAATTGTCTCCTTTTAAACATAAGTTCATGTGGTCTGGGGATAATGAATACACAATGGAAGGGATCCT